AAAAAAAAAAAAAAAAAAAAAAAAAAAAAAAAAAACCTTGTAGCACATTTTGTTTAGCTAACTCCACAATCTAATGGAGACATCCTACTTCAACCCGCATTATACAAAATACTATACGTACTAACAATAAATAGTGAAATAACACAATGTCTTCCCCACACTTCGAAAACAAATAATTACAAGAATTTTCGTACTATTAGGCCCCTGTGGCCATTTTTTTAATACTTTTTTTTCAAAAAAATTCACTTCTTTTTTTAAATCTGTGTTTGTTCATAAAATTTTTAATTTTCACTTTGAAGATTAATTTTGTAATTTTTTGAAAATTTGAAAATTTTCCAAAAAACTGTTTTTCAAAATTTTAATTTCAGATCACTCTGTAAAAATAAAAATAAAAACAAAAATTGTATTCATCCAACCTTCAAACACAAATTTTCAAATAGCATTTTTATTTGATTTTTTTTTTTCACTTTTTCCGGAATTTATAATTCTCGTGTCCAAACGCCCAGTTAATATCTGCGAGACTTTTCTAAACGAAGCCATGAAATTGTGAAATATGTATTTCCTCAGAGAAGACTTTTCTTTTTTTCCTTGCATTTCTGGCCAATTGGCTCAAGTAGAAGGAGCATAAATGAGAACAAAAAAAAAGAACAAGACGCAGGATGTACACTAACTAAATCTCCATCTAAAGCCACTTAACAAAATACAGTGTGAAGGCGGAGAAATGTGGGGTCCTAACAATCTGTCATCACCAGCATTGATCCGTTTCCCATCTCCGGGTCGGATAAAACTCCGACCTACTGATACGATATCCATTGGAAGAGTGCCCAAAACCTCGCCGACGAGAGCCTACGCTTAACTTGAGATCGTACAGCGCCCTGGAAGAAGGATCAGAGAGCGTGGCATAAGCGTCGTGAATCTCAATGAAATTCAGGCCGTCGGAAGATTCCTCCGGCAGAGAAGCAGCATCGGGATGGTACAGTTTAGCCAAATTCCGGTAAGCAGCCTTAATCTCTTTCGCTGAAGCATCTCTTTTAACCCTTAACACCTCATAGAGACTCGCCGGTCTTGTCCTCTCCAACGCCGGCGGAGCCTCGGCAACGGCGGAAGCACATATCGATAATCTCTTAGTATTCTTCCCAATGTACGAAATTCCAAATGCGGCGGCGGAAGAGGAGGAGTTATGAACGGAAAAGGGAACGGAAGTTGGGGAAATTAGGGTTAGGGATTGGACCATTGGAGAATTATGATTTTTTCAATTTGTCAGACGAAAATGCGGAAAGCGGAGTGAGATATAGAAAGTTTTTTGTGGGGTATAATTTATTATTTAAAGAAAAACTGAGAAAAGAGGTTTTGTTTTTATTTTATATAGAAAAAATGAAAAAGTCTAAGGAGGGAATCTTTAAACCCGAGGACGGCGTACCCACCGTTTTTTAAGATTACAGTTGCAAAATGGAAGACTGTGTGCTGACGAGGCATTTTTCTTATGCCTTCTAGAAGATTGGGAATAGTATATTTAAAACTACGAGACAGTCTCGTACTACATCAGATGCAGTTGGAGCTGTAAGGTATTAAAGATTATTATTATGGCCTCCAAATGCTTAATCTTGGTATTTTATACTACCCCGTCCCGTTCCAATTAATATGAAGGTATTTGACAAAATTTTAAAAATACAAGGAAGACTTGATTTTTGAAATTTGTGGTATAAAATAAATAATAAAAATTTATGTGGTTATAAATTATTTCATTAAAAGTAAAAAATAAAATTTAAAATTGAATTGTTACTGAATATAAAAAGTATTATTCTCTTTTTGATTGAATAAAAAAGAAAAAAATATCACATAAATTGAAACGGAGCAAGTATTATATACTCCTTACTCTTAGGGGTCGTTTGGTATGAAGTATAAGAAGTTATAGTGCTGGTATAAAAAATTAATATCATCTTAATGCTTTGTTGGTTAGCAAATCTGTTATAAGTTATCCCGAGATTAAAATTAGTACCGGGATAACTTATACCTTGTAGAGGGTGGGGTAATTAGTGCCGGGATAACTTATACTTTCTTCTTAGAAATTATGCAATTGTCATTTTGATATAACATACCAAACAGTGAATAAAAAACAATACCAGCATAACTTATCCCGGCATAAACCGTATTCGAACCAAAGGACCCCTTAAGCTACTATCTATTCGCTTGAGTCTTGGCAACAATTTTTAAATATCTAGGACCTCTACTTAAAGGTAAGTCTGTATAGAGTGGTAAACGAAAGTGAGCTAAGATTGGATGGGGAGTATTTTGTCCCTTTTATTGATCAATTGAGTGCAACTTCAAATTAATTATTTCAGATTCCGAATGTCTAAATAAGAAAAGAGTTAGGATTAAACAGATCAAAGTATACTAATTGAAAGCGTATAATCAAATGTGATCAGCTCAAACCATTTCTTATTGTAACTGGTTACAGTTTTCTCTCAATTGGTTGATACTTTGTTTATATTTTTTATTAGGATTAGGATACACAGCAAACTATTTGTCTTTTAACTATACTTGCAAATAACTAGTTGACTGGTCATATTTGGACCATGTTTACCTAAAATTTGACTGATTACCTTGGAATTAGCCTGTTTTGAACTATCTTTAGCTATATCTCTCATTCAATCCTCAAACTTTGACATGATAAATAATTAAAGGGGTGGGAAGTGAGTCTGTTCAAGGATGGAGGGCTAGAAAAAGAACAACACACTTCTGTCTCCCATTTTCAATAATAATGTACTACTTCCCAGGTGGACCCAAGATTTTTATCAAGCGGATTCAAAATACAAAATAAATAAATATACAAAAACGTCAACAAAATAAATTATAATGATGCAGAGAACTGAGGGGAAAAAGTGTTCTATATAGGGGAAAAACACCATGAGTATAATAGTGTTCGAAAAGTGTTCTATATTCGAACTCTGTACATCCCAGAAAACTTGAACCCACTTTGCCAGTGGGCTGGATAATGCCTTTGTACTAAGTGGGGTCAAAAAAATATATATAACAGCATTTTCTTGAAAAAAGGTAAAATATAATAGTGTTATTTTTAGACGAACCGGGTTCATATAAACCTTCTTGATCCCACGTGGGTCTGCCCCTGACTGTACTCCATTATAATGCATACTCCAGAGTCCCTTCAATCCAGTTTATGTAAAAGTAAAAAAATAAATTAAATTTGTACCAAAAGCTTTTGTAGCCACACAAAGTCACAAATACTGGCATGTTTAAAACTCCAAATTTCAAAGTTTTATAATCATACAAATATTATAACATGTTCAAGACTAGAAGTTTCAAAAGCTTTCTTTTCTCCTAAACTCCGTATCCAATCACACATGATCACATAAAATAAAACAAATAGAATATTAATTAATAAATATATAATCATAATTAAGTATTAGATGTTTATATGTAAATAAATATAAATTATGAATGTGATAATTTAGTGTAAACACTAAATGGGGATAGATTTTTCCTCCCTTTTTGTGGGTTTGGCCTGCTGTCTATACTCTGTAAAAACAGAGGAAATGTTTCAAAACTGTAACTAACAGATTCTAAGTAGAAAACTGTGGTAAGCTCACCGTCATTTCTNGGTTCAAAACTGTTTGTAAGTAGAAAACTGTGGTCACAAATCACAAGCTCCCCGTAAAGGTGGTCATTTCTCACGTGGCTATGCTTCTAGAAGCCCTTCTCTTCCACTCCACACTAATTTGGAGAAAAGTCACTGTCGTTCTTCATTGACTGTTGACGTCCCCTTCGATTTTTATACAAACAAAAGTCTCCGTTGGGTTTGATTTTTGAAGGTTGGACCCTAATTTTAGCGAATTCTTCTATATTTAGCTTTGTATTATAATTGCATTTAAGCAAGGATAAGGCTTCTAGAAACTTTACCCTTTAAACCATTTCTATGTGAAAAACAAGAATTAATATTATAACCAACAAAAATTGCAGTAATGAATTATCTAATGATATAGTCGTGCTTTACCACTCCCTCCAATCTTCTTTACTTTTCCTTAATTAAGATGAAAGTGATCCATTATTTAAATTTGATTGATGATGCTTCATTTCTACTCTAAGATATAGATTTAAACTCTTTGCTAGTCTTGACTCTTGAATGGTTGGATTTGCTGATATCAGTCTCTTATATCTTCCCTTTACGAAATAAATTGGTAAATATGTGACATTTCATGTATCACTTAATTATTATTATAGAAAAAATATGGGCAGTGGGTTCAATTTAACCTAATCTTTTTTATACAAAACACCAATATATGTAGGTGAAAACTAAAAACCTATTTAAACTTTGAGAAATATTACGTTTGAACACAAACTTAAAAACACAAGAAGCTCAATTCTAATTCTCTTAAATATTAAATTCAAGAATTTTAAATCTTAAATTGGCCCTGGTAATCGCAATTATACTCTAAGAAATACATATAAATTCTTTGTTCGTCTTTGAATGTTGGATTTGTCATATCCTACTGAAATTAGTCTCTTATTTCTTCCCATTTGAAATAAAATTAAGTAAATACGTGACATTAATTCATGACTCAACTCAATTTTTTTAAAATCTTTTCGCTTTGAGATGCCTATGAGATGAAATTGTGAAATATGTATTTACTGATATCCTTAAAAGAGACATTTTAAAAAATTTCCAACTGGCTCCTCGGTATGGAACAGAAAAAAGAGGAAACAAAAACGGATACTCCTATAAATACTAAATTGCCACTTGATAGATTACAGATTTACAGTGTTCACGCGGCAAAATGTGGGTCCCTAATCACCAACACTGATCCGTTTCCCATCTTCGGGCCGGGTAAAACTCAGACCCATAGATCCGAACTCCGTCGTCGGAGCTCCCAAAACCTCGTCGAGGGGAGACCGCGCTTAACTTCACGTCGTATAGAGCCCTAGACACAGGATCAGATAGCGTCACGTAAGCGTCGTGTATCTCAATGAAATGCCGGTCGTCGGAAGATTCCTCCGGCCGAGAGGCAGCGTCGGGATGGTATAGCTTAGCCAAATTCCGGTAAGCTGCCTTAATCTCTTTCGCTGATGCATTTTCTTTTACCCTTAGCACCTCGTAAAGACTCGCCGGTGTTCTCCTCTTCAATGCCGGTGGAGCCTCCGCAACGGCGGCAGCATATATCGATGCTCTGCGTGTATTCTTTCGGAGAAATAAGACACGACGATCGGAGAAGCCGGCGGTGGAAGTAGAAGTATTCTGAAGAGCAAAAGAGAAGGAAATTCCGGCAGGTAGGGCTAGGGATTGAACCATCGGAGAGTTATTACTAATACAATTCTTCAAACGAATAATATGTGGAAAACGTAACGGAGCAAGATATAGAAAGTTGTGTATAATTTAAAGAGAAGGTGAGGGAGAGGTTTTTATATGTAAAATGGAAGTTAGGGAGGGGAATCTTGGGCACCCACCGTTTCTATCGGTTTACAGTTTGAGCAAAGAAGACTGTGTGCTGACGAGGTATCTTTTCCTTCTCAATAATTGGATTTATTACTTTTTGTCCTTTTGTTTATTTCTCATTGTTGGTCCTTTTTTTTTTTTTTTTTTTTTTGTTCCCGCTCGATGTTCGATATCCGTATTGGAGCTTAACTATATCCGGATTCACGCTGCATAGGGCCCCATTTGGGGAGAAACGCTTCCTACCAAGGATTTTTTCATACTCAGAGCTCGAACTCGAGACATCTGATTAAGGGAGGAACAGTCTTATACACTGCACGTCTGCACCACGTCATTTGGTGGTCATTGTTGGACTTATTTGTACTGGGTTCTATTAATCCGAATTCGCAAAGTACTTTTTACCAAAGACTACTTTATATTCAAAGCTTGAATATGAAACTTTTAGTTACATTTGAGGAGTACTTACCACTTCACCCTAAACCCTAAACCCTAAATCCTGAATTCTTTGGTTAGCGTAGTACCATTTTTATACTTCCTCCGTTTTAATTTAGATAATATATTTTGACTTGACACAAAGTTTTAAGACTTTTAAAATTTATGATCCTAAAAGCTTAAGGAGCAACAACTTTGCGGGGCTATGACATTTTTGTGGCTATAAAAACTTATCATTAAGAGTAAAATGAGAAAAATAAAAAACAAAAATTAAATTATTTTTAAATATAAAAATATATTATTCTTTTTTAAATGAACTAATAAGAAAAGTGTGTCGTTTAAATTAAACATAGAAAGTAAGTTTGAACAACAGTAGAACTTCAATCATGTGATAGCTATTGTAGATAATGTCATAATGAAGATTTTGGCCTCCAATGCTTGGCGTACAAGGCCTAATGCTGGTATTTTGTATTATACTCCTACGAGATTACTAATAACTGTTTTAGTGACGATTTATTATATCTACACCTTTAACTTAAAAGATATGTGATGTTTTTTTTTTAATTTAAATGTTAATTGGGTGATATCGATGATCACTTGCATACGTAGAAATCTCACTCGTCTTGAGTTCATTACTGAAATGGTCACTCACCTATCCCAAATTAGTTTTTAAAGTCACTTTTCTTTCGTTTGAAACAACAAAGTCATTGAATTATGTCTATAGCACTCAGAAGGTCACTCAACTAGGTTTTTCAAATTTTGGATTACCAAATGCCTATTTTACCCACTAAATTATAAACATTTATCTTCTTTTTATTTTTTAAAAACTTTTTAATATTATGATTTTTGCCTTTTTAATTTATATTATCTTACCTATAGAATAAATAAATTTTATTTATAAATTTTAAAAAAAAAGTATTTACGCGTATATAATACTGGAATAAAAAAATAATGAGCATAGTAAAAAAAATTAATTAGAATAATATGTTCGTAATAATAAGTTAGTATTAACAACAAAAATTCAAAATTATTTGCACAATTCAGAATGAAAAAAATAAAGGTTGTAAAATATATATTTCATGCATGTAATATAAAATTAATTATTAATTATTTAAATAAACGTATTTTTCTAATATACATTATATATTTTTGAAAGTTATGCTAAATTATATTAAATGTTGTAGAATATTATTCATTAAATGCTACCGGGTGGCAGATATTTATTTCATCTTTATGAACATCATTCTTTCCGGTAATAAATGAAACAATTATCTTCGGTCTTAGCTATCCCCTGCCTACAGTTCCACGTGTCACCCTCTTATGCAATGACTTAACATATCATATTTTACCCTATACAGATAGTCCCCTTGCTTTCCGGTGACATAACTTTGTGTCGTCAGAAAGTTGGTAGAAACATAATAATATAATTGAGCATAATTTTCAAGAATATATAATGTATATTATAAAGATAACTTTATTTAAATAATTATTTTTATATTATGTGCATGGAATATAAATTTTACAACATTTATTTTCTTTCATTCTGAATGTGTAAATAAATTTCTGAATTTTTGTTATTAATACTAAACTTATTAGTATGAACAAATTATTGTAATTAACTTTTTTACTATGCTCATTATTTTATTATTCCGGCATTATATATGATTAAATACTTTTTATTTTTTTAATTTATAAATAAAATTTATTTATCCTACAGGTAAGTCCATAATATAAATTAAAAAGGGAAAATCATAAATTAAAAAGTTTTAAAAAAATAAAAAGAAGATAAATGTTTATAATTTAGAGGATAAGATAGGTATTTGGCAATCCAAAATTTGAAAAATCTAATTGAGTGATCTTCTGAGTGCTATAAGCATAGTTCAGTGACTTTGTTGTTACAAACGAAAGAAAAGTAACTTTAGGAGATAACTTGGGATAGTTGAGTGATCATTTGAGTAATTGACTCCACTCGTCTTTCATATCAATGCTCAATGTGAAATATATTGTCTTAAAATGTCGTCTCAGACATGAAAGATGCAGAAAATTTATATACTCTACAATTTATTAGACTCCCGACTTCAATGAATTATGTATACAAATGGTATCAATGAAATCCCCAATTAATAGATTTATAAAAATATAGTCACATCCACACAGGTAATCTTATTTATCCTTACAAATCTCACTGCATTAACATTAATAAGCTTGTTAACATCTTCTCTTGGACTAGTTATGAAGTTATCAATTGAGTTGTTTAGGTTTTGAAATCCTCCCACTAATTGAGAATTTTTATTTCAAACTACAACCTTTAAATGTAGGTTCTATCATCAGTAACCCTAAGTTATTGGAGGGCAGAATAATGCAAAACCGTGGTCACAAGCTCATTGTTAAGGACAGTCTTTCTCGGTAAATATTTATCTATATATCTTGCGTTTATCCAAATTAATAGATGTATAATGCGTGTTTATAATAGGTTATGATTAAATATATTTTCACCTAATAAAATCACTAGGCCATGATAAATTGGTACTGTTTGGGGTAATAAATGGTTAGTGTCCAAAAAAAAGGACGATCCTTTCTGACGTGGCAATGCATCTAGAAGCCCTTCACTTTCACTCCACAAAATACCCACATCCATATGTATATAATTTGGAGAAATGTCACAATTGTTTATCGACCGTTGCCGTCCCTTTCAATTTTTTTTTACAAAAAAAAAAAAAAGTTGCAAAATCTATGTTGGGTTGTACGGTTGGACCTCAATTTTAGTGGACCCATTGATATATACACATGCACTAACATATAGTAGCATGAATAACATATAGTAGCATGAATGATAGTTGTATTCAAGCAAAAGGGATAACGCGTCTAGAAACCTTTTCTAGAACCATTTCTAAATATTTAAAAAAAAAAAAGAATTCATATTAAAACCAACGAAATTGGAGTAATATAATATGCCTGTAATAGTTGAGGTCTACCACTACTTCAATATTTCTCTTCTCTTTTTGTCAATTTAGTTGAAACTGATCCAATAGTTTATTTTGATTGATGAGACAATTCTTGAATTAATTAACAAAATGCATCATTTCTACACCCTAAGTAATACATTAAAAAACTTTGCTGGTCTTTGATTGTTATACTTGTCATGCTTGCTGAAATTGATCTCTTATTTCTTCTTTTTATATATAATGAAAATCATTAAATAAGTGGCATTTGATGAGTTAACTTATATATAAAATCGATATGTCAATAATTAAAAGAAATGATGTTTAGACTATGGGATTATAAGCACTATTGATTGTCCATTTCTCAACCCACAATCAGTTTGACTTATGGGTTTTGGGTTAGTCATTCAATTGTTAGCCGTAGCGTTTGGTACTTCGATTCAGTATTTAAAAATTTTGATTTAGTACTTCAGTATTCGATCTATCAATTGTGCATATCAAATGTGGTATTGACCTTGCGAAATTCTAGAATTCTACTCATTATTTAGGAGGTTCAAAGCAAAAGTCATTCCATGTGTTTTGAGTCTAGACCAGATTACTTAAAGTTGAATGTTCTGTTACATTATGGGACGAGTACATATCGTTCTTGCTAATTTATTAGATGCAGTAAATACATCTTTCAGTAGCTATTGAACGTCAATCTTCTTAGTTAATGATAGACTAAAAACATTTTCTATTTATAAAGATCAGTAAAAGCTGATGCGACAAATAAAATATATCATTCAATTGAGATAGTAGCAGCACACATAAACCCGAATTAATTTTCTCAAGCTTAATTTTAGCACTTCATTGAAATAATAATATCAATGTATTCTAACAAGATAAAAAGAAAAATGAGGCTTGGGTTGAATTTATGGTTGGATGCAAATTTAAATTAAGTTACTTAATATGCATAGTAAAAAAGTTAGGTATTTCGATATACCAAAATACCGAAACCCTCATATGAAATAACGTACCGAAGAACCAAAATATCGATATCCCAATAGTGAAGACCGTATCGGCAACCGAAGAATCGAATTAATTTGGTTCGGTCTAGCTTTTCGATTTCTCGGTTATTATGCCTACCCAGCAGACTCCAAAATTGCATAAATTTTCTCATTCCTACTTTTTGTTGGGCCATCCAATTTTGTGGATTAAGAGGGGCATTTGCATCTATATCCGCTTTTTGTATCACGTTTTAACTTGTGCCTGTTTTACAAAAAAAAAAATTGCAAGCGTACTCGCTTTTTCGCAAAACTTCAGCATACGAGGCTGAAGTAGCAAAGGCAATCACACAAAACTTCAGCATTCTAGTAGACGGGCCTGAAGTTCAGCTCTAGAGCTGAAGTTTTTGTTTTGTAACTGGCGAACTTCAGCTCTAGGCTGAAGTTTTTGTTTTGTTGAAGTTTTTGTTTTTGTAACTGGCGAACTTCAGCTCTAGAGCTG